TTTTGAAGAAAAATGGTGGTCAGATACATGTATGTATATGCATGTGTAAGTATGATACCACAGCTTACCAAAGACTGTACTGTACTGGGAATTTAAAAGCCTGATTTGTGTCTTAACATCCTCAGAAAGAGCAATCACCTCTCTACACCCCATTTTCCCCATCTGCAACATGGGGATGATTATATCTGTCTTTGTTGCTTCAGAAGGAAACAAAGATAAGATAAATGAATAACATATATGAAAAGTACTTTGAAGTCTTGGGAGGATAAAAATACTCTACAAATTCAAGCTATCATTATTACACACAGGGTGTGTTTGCATTTTTTATGTTTGCACTCAAAATCATCAGTATTATCACGCTTATGTTCTTTCCTCCATGTTCAATTCTCAGAAATGGCAAGATGAACATTTCATTCCCCAACTGTCTCTTCACTTGTAGTATTCTCTTGACAGGATTTTGCAATTATGAGTGTTCTCAGATGTTTTCAAGACCCCGGGGGGAAAAGGGTTTTCCCCAGTTTGTCTCAGCCTGGGTAATTCTTGGCAGAAGACACTAAAGATGGCATCTTTTCTAATAGAGATGCACAGATTATAGAGGACCAGCACGTGGTCTCATTGAAACCTCCAAAACACTCTAAGAAAGGTATTATTTTTTTCACCATTTGACAGAGGGGAGATGGCTCAAGGGGTTAAGGTAATTTGCCCCAAAATTCATTTTATAGCCGGAGTCATTAGTCTAATGAAATACTTGTGTTCTAAGATATAGCGTGAACTAGCAACAGGGATGTTCAAGAGCCTGTAGCCAGGTCCCAGATCATACCCATGGATGTGTGTGTGCAAGCTTCTTTGATCCCTAGAACCTTAGACACAACGTCTTTGGTTCTTGAATAATGTGGGTGTGACTACTGATTTTCCTGCCTGGAGCTTCAAGAGCTGTAACATGTCACCCATTGCTTTGTGCCAATGTTCTCTCTACATGTAAACAAAATAAGAACAAAACAAACAGTCTGTTGCTCTCCAGAGTAATTACTAGTGATGCATAGGATGGTCTTTTCCTTGGGAGGAGACCAGTGCACTCAGTTTTCTCTGAAGTGATGTGCAAAAAGGAGGTTCTTGGAGTGGTAGAAAGAAAACTGGATGTGGAATCCAGAGACACAAGTTTGAATCTTGGTTCAAAATGACTGACTGTGTGACTTGGGGATGGAGCATCAGTTTTTATTTTATTTTTTTAAAAATAAAATTCACCATTTTATTTTTTTTAAATGTATTTTATTTATTTTTTATTTTTATTTTTATTTTTTATTTTATTATTATTTTTTTTTACAGAGATGAAGGGAGTGGGATCGAGAGTTAGAAACACCAATGAGAGAGAAACATCCATCAGCTGCCTCCTGCACACTCCCTACTGGGTATGTGCCCGCGACCAAGGTACATGTCCTTCAACCAAGGTACATGTCCTTGACCGGAATTGAATCTGGGACTCTTGAGTCCACAGGCCAACGCTCTATCCACTGAGCCAAAGGGGTTAGGATAGGAACATTAGTTTTAATAACTGTAACCTGCATATAATAATATTTATCTGCTCACTGGCTATAACCTTCTAGTCAGCTTCACCTTCATCTGCACAGCTGCAGAAGCGCAAGTGTATATATGGGTTAAGTAGTCACTTTAAGAGTGCCTTGTTTATAGATTATTTGTCTAAAAATTCTCTATTCCATTCATTCCTTCCTTTGTCTTTCTCAGCAAAAATGCAAATAATAGAATATTATTTCCAGTAGTCATACAGTATGGCTCTCAGCATACTTATCTATTAAGAACAAAGCTAAGGAGGAATGACATACAGGGTTGCATGAGGATTGAGTTAATGCATCCGAAACATTTAACACAGTGACTGGCATACAGTGAATGATGGGTCACTGTCAGCTGTTTTAACTTTTTCTTACTTAGGTGATTCTCATTTTCTTCAATGGTTCGTCTGTGGCCCTGGTGAAGAAGAGAGAAGAATCTGGTTCCCTTTAAAAATGTCAGCCTAGTCAGTGGGCAGGTAGGGCTTCCTTGCATCCTACCTGCAAACCTCCCCCTTATTTCTGCCCAGTTTCTGCACACCTGGGAAAGTATCTGGTTAACTTTTTTTTGTTTGTAAATTGAATAATGACAACTTTGAGAGCAGTGACAACATTTTAACCTGTTTTCCCTCTGAAAGGAGTCTGAAAAGCAAACCCTAAACCTGTGGACAACTTGTTTTTAAAACCACATTTCAGAGTTTACAGGTGTGTGCCTGGGGCAACCAAAACAAAGATTACAGCGACGGCGATGGCTGCCTCCCAGGCTCAGATAAAAGAGGCGCCTCGCAGTTAGCTCGGCGTGCCAGCTCACCTGAGGTCAGACTTTGAATTTCCCCCACTCCCAGGGCGGCAGGGAGAACTGGGCCTCCCAGGGCTGGCTTTCAAACCCACACGACCGTTTTCCCAGGCTCTCTCCCTTTCCCATGTTGAGTTTCTGGGTGCATAGTCCTCCCTACTGGCTCGGTGTGTGTCCCGGGGGAGACTGGGTGGTGGTGCCTGGGTGTGGGCAGCCGGGGTGGGGAGCAAGGCTGGGAGGCGGTGGCCCCGGAAATCGCCGGTGGACAGCCGCCCCGGGATGCCTAAGGGGTCACAGCTCCCGGCCGGTCCTCTCCCCAGGGTCTCTCCGGGGCCGGGCAAACAGCAGCGCCCTGGGGACGCAGTGACCGTGCTGGCGCTTCCCGCCCTTTCCCGGGACCGGCTCCCCTGCCCCTGGCCGCTTCCTCCTGGGCTCCGCCGCCCCTCCCAGCGGCGACTCCCTTTCGCAGGCGTGCGCCCCCAAACCCGCCGCCCCCCGCCCCCCGGGTCCCCGCGCAGGTGCCCGCGGCGCCGGGCGCAGGCGCCCGTGGGGAGGCGCTGTGGTGCAGGCGGCCCCGCGCGCCCCGGGCGCCGGCTGCGGCTCGGCCTCCTCCTCCCGCTCCCTCCGCCCTCCTCCTCCTCCTCCTCCCGCTCCCTCCGCCCTCCTCCTCCTCCTCCTCCCGCTCCCTCCGCCCTCCTCCTCCTCCGCGGCTGGGAAAGTGGGAGGCGGCGGCGTGTGCGCGCGCGAGGGGGGCGCCGCGAGGAGGCTCCGGGGCCGCCGCGTCCGAGGCACCGCGAGCGCCGCGGGGCCGCATCCGCATCGGCCGCCGCCGCCGCCGCCGCGGGGCCGCGAACAAAGAGGAGGAGCCGGCGAGAGGTAGGGCGCGGGCACAGCCCCGCGGGGGGAAGGCGGGCGCCGGGCGTCCCCTTCCCCTCCCCTGCGCGCCGCCCGCGCGCTCTTCTCCCCACCGTCCCCGGGTCCCCGCGGGCGCCGAGCCGGGACCTGCGGGAGCCCAGCCCGCGGCCTCGCCCGCCGCCTCCCCGGCAGGAAGCCGCCCGGCTCCGCGCCGCCGGCTCCGGCACAGCCCGCGCCCCTGCCCGCGCCCCGCCGACTGCGCCTCCCGGGGACGCCCGCCCTTCCCCGCGGGGAGGCGGCCGCGCCCCGGGGCGCTCCGCGGGGCTGACTCTCACAACTTAAGGTGCGGATTTATTTGTAAGTCCTTGGAAACTTCCAGCTGGGGGTGGGGTGGGGTGAGGGGGGATCGGGGTGGGGTTCGGTGCCCGGTGCCCGGCCTGACCTAAAAGGAGGCGGGGATTCCGGAGATCCCCGTGCGGGCGCCGGCCGGGCCGCAGGCAGCCCCAGCCCCGGAGCCTGTGCTGCGGACGCGGGGGCACCTGGCCCGGGCGTGCCTGCGGCCCCGGCTACCTGTGCGGGCGGCCGGGAGGGGTGCAGCCCGGGCCCCCCGGCCCCCCGGCCCCCCCGGCCCCCCGGCCCCCCGCCCCGGCCCTGTCAGGAGCAGCTGTGGACGCTCCCACCCAGACCTGCCGCCCCCTCTCTCTGAGCCGGTCACGTTTCCATGGATGTTGGAGGCGGTCGGAGAGCGGCGCAGTCCCTGGTGTAAAGGCTCCCCCCCAAACCCCCAATCCCGATGGCCCCGGGCTCATAGGATGACCCCCCGTTCCCAGGGCAGCAGCCCACGGCCAGATTCTTTAGGGGATCACTTTGCCAGGTTTTGTGAATGGGATGAGGACAGGCCGTTCAGAAATCCGGTTCAGAGTTTGTCCACCGCTACCCATCTATCTGAAGGCTGCTTTTCTGTTTCAGCTGCTTTTTTTCAGGCAGGCAGGCAGGTCCGTAGTGGTTGGTGTCCTTTAGAATGGTCACAACCTTCAGCTCATTTTTTTTTTTTAATTTTTATTTTTTAGTTTTTGGTTTGGGCAGGATGAAACAGGGCTATGTTTAAGGCCAGCCCAGAAACATATGTATCCAATACTGGGATCATTTACTGCAAGTGATCACAGGAGGCATGGTTTTTCTTCAACGCCCAAGTATCTTTTAGAAATTGGGAATTGGGTCGAGTTTGAAAGTGATTTCAGGTGCGGAAAACTTTCAGTGGCTTCCGTTCAGCTTCTCCTAGGAGTGGAGGGCTCTGTGAAGGCAGCTCCTAGCACTCGGGGGGGCTGGAGAAATGACGGTCTTTATTGCGTTTCATAAATCCTATTTATTGCACGAGTCCCGTGGAGGGCTTCATAGCTGTTTCTGCATGGTGAACTCCTCTAACTATCGCCAGGGATTAATTTGGAATTGTTTTTAAAAGCCTTTTTTTTTTTTTTTTAATTGTTGGCTTTGGAGATCAGGAGCCACATTCCAAAGCAAAAGCTGCACTCTTCAGAGGAAGCACTTTTGTGTACTTTTTTTGCTTCTTGGCTCCTCTGTGAGCCTTTTCCCCAGATAACAATGGTTGTTTTTTTTTTTTTTTTTTCCCTTCTTCCCTCCCTCTCCCCCCTCCTCCTTTTCCGCACTCCCCTCCCGGGACTCCAGAGCACAGTCTGAAATGGATGTTACATGAATCACTGGAAGGGCTGCATTGCATACCACTATGAGCACTGCTGAAGCTCTTCCTCAGTAAAACGATAAAGATGGATGAGTCTGCCTTGCTGGATCTTCTGGAGTGTCCTGTGTGTCTGGAGCGGCTGGATGCTTCTGCCAAGGTTTTGCCTTGCCAGCACACGTTCTGCAAACGGTGCCTGCTGGGGATCGTAGGTTCCCGTAACGAACTCCGATGTCCCGAGTGCAGGACCCTGGTGGGCTCGGGCGTGGAGGAACTTCCCAGCAACATCCTGCTGGTCAGACTCCTGGATGGCATCAAGCAGAGGCCCTGGAAGCCTGGCCCCGGTGGGGGTGGTGGGACGAACTGCACCAGCGCGTTGAGAGGTCAGAGCAGCTCCGTGGCGAACTGTAGCTCCAAAGACCTGCAGAGCTCCCAGGGTGGACAGCAGCGCGTGCAAGCCTGGAGCCCCCCGGTGAGGGTGAGTAGCCTGCAGAGCAGTTTGCTTATTATAATAATGGCGTGGGAATGACCACGTATTTTTTTATTTTTATTTTTATTAAATTATTATCTGTGTACATATCTTACCATTGCCCCCCACCCCCCCGTATAGGCCCCCCCTCCCCAGAGTTTTGTGTCCATTGATGACCACGTATTTTTTTCTTTATTCTCAGACTTGATGTTTTCTAAATCAGCCTATGGCTAAACAAGCCACACGTACTGTAACAGATAGGAAGTGATGCTGCAGGGTATTATTCTTCCCTTTTTGGAATGGAATTGGATATAAATAATCAATTTTCTTGTTTTTTTAAAAATTTTCTCCAGATAATCCCTATTATCTTTTCAGAAGCAAGTAGCAAATCATTGACACCCAAAACACAGCCTCTTTTTGTCACCAATTTAAAATGGAAATGTGTTATTGTTTTACTTTGTTGATGGATTTTGGAGAGCCATGATTATGTATGCATGTGTACATCTGTGTATACGTGCTATAAACATGTGTGAGAGTAAATCACAAGTAGGAAGTCAGGCCATAATTTTTAGATTGCTTAGAGCACAGAAATTTTCTGGTTGGGGGAATTCTTAACAAATCATGGCCACAGGTAGCAGAGTTTTGTTGCTGTAGCAACGCAATGTCATTTAGGACTATGCTAAAACAGCAAGAGAATCTAGCTTTATGTTGGGTTTTACAGAAAGTGAAATTAAATATTCCATTAAAATGCTTTTTCTTGGGTTTTGGGTTTGGGCTGAAATAATTTTAAGTGAAGTTAAATATTTGGATAGTTATTATAATTTAAATTTCTAGAAGGTAAGATATTCTGAATAAATCTGAATTTATGATACACCAATAAGATATGCTTTGCTCATCTTTATAATAATAAAAAGTAATTATGGGCTGCATACAATTATGCATATTTGTATAGTTAAAACAATTCCATTTGTGTTGGAAGAAGCAATTTTGATAATTGGCCAAAACTGATAAATATTTTTAAAGAACAGTAAATCTGGATGAGAATATATATTTTTCAAATATTTGCAGTACACACACACAAATGGCTTTTTTTATTTAATGTTGGAACAGCATTGGGACAGCATTAGATGGTATAAATTCATAAATGTGATGATCAGACAACTGTAGCTGACTACAGCCTTATAACCATTCCCTTCCTTCTCAGGCCATCTTTTAAAATGCTATCTTTATATCACTGGATGTAACATATGTAAAGCATCTTAATCACTAGGAAACAGTTTCATCACTAGCAGAGTAAGATTTCTCTTGTGTCTCATATTTAAGATTTTTAAGATAGTAATGACTGGTTTATGGAGGTTTTCTTTCCCTGTTGGAAGCTCACATGTAAAATTGATCTGCTTATAGCACTTTAAAAAAATATATATATATTTTATAGATTTTTTACAGAGAGGAAGAGAGAGGGACAGAGAGTCAGAAACATCGATGAGAGAGAGACACCGATCAGCTGCCTCTTGCACACCCCCTACTGGGGGTGTGCCCGCAACCAAGGTACATGCCCTTGATCGGAATCGAACCCGGGACCCTTCAGTCCGCAGGCCGATGCTCTATCCACTGAGCCAAACCGGTCTCGGCTGCTTATAGCACTTTTCTTAGACTTTTATTTTATAGAGTTTACTGATACCTTGGTTGGTGGATATGGACTCATCAATATTTCAACTACAGAATCAGTGATCAAGTTGATCATTTCTGAGACACCTGACCCAGGTCTGCTTAGTTTAATTAGGGAGTAGATTTACTTCTTTGGAGAGATTTGGTTTCCTTGTTAATTAGACTAGAGAAGGCATAGCTTCTGGCTATGAGTAGAAGTTCCTTAGTGGTTGACACCTTGCCTTACCTGTTGTGAGGAATGCATTGAAGGTTTGATTACTGATAAAAAAGGAATTTAACAAGAGGGCTTAAGCATGCAGCTTGGCATTTTCCTTTTTAACAGAAACTGACTGTGTAATGCTGTAATGTCCATTTGTTTGAACTGCTAAGCTCCCAAAATGGAGTTTCACTTTTCTTAGTGAAATTTTTGTGATATTTGTTGATGCCAGTATTATTTTTGTGAGATTTCATTGATGTTAGTATTATTTTCCTGGCTTACACAGTTTTCTTTAGCATGAGAAAAATTACTCACCAAGAAGGACAGCTCACCTTGAGCCTTATAACTTGCATTGTTGAAGTCCATAAAACAGGAGGTAATATCTGTTACTTGGTGGGTGGCACGGAGAGTGTTGGCTGAAACAACCTGGTTTTTTCAGTTATCTGAGTGTTTGCAAATGCTGCAATACTTTAAAAAAAAAAAGTTTTTTTTCTCCCCCAAGTCTAAAAAAACTTGTACTTTTTATCAGTACTTTTTATTTTCAAGTATTCAAAACAACCAGGTATCTCAAAGGTAAAACATCTCAGAAAATACTCCTTTAAACAGTAAGAAATCTGTTAGATACATACATGTGGAGGTTGTAATGCACTCCTTCGGACCCTTTCCTTAGGTGAGGGACCGTAATAAATACCAAACGCACATCCTCCCTTAGATGTTCTGACATGACCAAGCGGCGCGTGAGCCTTTTTCCACATGTTGCCCAAAGCTGAAAGTGATAACATGTGGAATGTTGCTTCAGTTTATTAGTTATGTTCTGTGATCCGTTAGACTGTGACCATGTGGCTTCCTCATGTGTTTAGCCGAGGTAGATGGAGTGTTATCGGCAGATACGAACATTTCCAACGTGTGACACACATCTTGTTCCCAGAATTTTAGTGTTTCCTGTCTAATATGAAGGAGAAAATGAAACAGTGTTGGGCTGGAGTCACCAAGGGAGTCAGTCCCATCGACTCTTTACCCCAAGTAAAGAATTGCTGTTGGTTTGAAGCCAAAGTCAAGCAGTGGAGTGAGCCACCGGGAGGGGGTGGCTGCAGATAATCTGTCTAATGGACTAAAAAATACCTGCAGAAGATAGATTTTTGTGTATATGCAAAGTGAGATGAGGAAAGCATATTTAAGTAATTCCTATAGAAGTACTACCTAATGGCATAGTTAAATTTCTGCTGTGTGTGATCCCATTGTTCAGGATTTTTATCAGTGAGTGCGTGCGTGCGTGCGTGCGTGCGTGCGTGCGTGCGTGCGTGTGTGTGTGTCTGTCTGTCTAGGTATTAAATAATGATTTCACACTGCCTCAAAGTGAGTTTATTCAGCAGAAATAGATCACACAACCATTGATTTACACTAATTTACACATCACTTAGTCTTTTAAAAAAAATCTAAAACATAATGAGTACTTACTAGGGTCTAGGCACTGCCCTCGCTGCTGGATAGATAATGATGGACAAACCAGATACAGATTCTGCTTAGCAATTAATGAGTATGTGTCAGTCTTGTTGGAGAGACACACAATAACAATAGCAATGCAGGTAGGTAATTAAACACAGTGTCAGGGAGAGCCATGGGAGAGGAAAGAAGGGCCTGTGTAAAGTGTGAGGGTGAATTGTGTTTGTGTGTGTGTGTGAGTGTGAGAGAGAGAGATTTTAAAAAACTTCCTTGAAGAAAAGGTATTTGCGCTGAAATGATATGATTGGAGATGGGGCTGGGCAGCCACAAGGGCAGAGGGGGTGAGTATTCCAAAGGCCCTGACGGACAGCACAGGGCATGGCTCCTAGAAAGAACCAACAGAAGGTGAGTATGAACTAAGCAAGGGACAGGGATCGGACCTAAGACGAGGCCTCAGGTGCAGCAGTGTGCAAGGCATCAAGGGCCACCACAAGGCCACCTGGGGTCAGGGCCAGATGCGTGGTGTAGCTACTGAGTGCTCTGCATCGGAATTAGAAAGACAGATCATTGGGACTGGAAATCATTGAGACCCGAGTGCACACAAACCTTCAGAACAGACGTGAAGCCTGGGGTCAAAGCCCTGAGAGACAGGGAAGGTAGGGCATTCTGGATACGGGGAAGGGGGACACAGATGTGATTTCCTCTTTCCCGCCAATGCCCAGGACGCTTCAGTTCCTCCAGAGTCATACCCACACCTCCCTGCTCCCCTCTCCTGATTGCCCACTATTATGGGCTGAATCGTTTCCCCCAGCATTCATAAGTAGAAGTCCCATCTCCCGGCCGCTCACCATGCGGCTGTGTCTGGGGAGCAGCACCTCTAAAGAAGTGGTGGAGGTAAAATGAGTGTGTACGGGCGTGGCCTAAAGACTGTTAATCCTCGTTAGAGGAGATTAGCAGACAGACACCGAGGTAAGGCCATGTGAAGACACATGGAGAAGATGGCCATCTAAAGCCAAGGAGAGAGGCCTTCCGAAGAACCCAGTCCTGCCCGCACTTCATCTCAGACTCCTGGCCTCCAGGACGGAGGAAGTAAATGCCGGTTGCTAACGCCAGCCAGCCTGTAATACTTGCTAAGGGTCGCTCTGGCAGAGCAATACACTCCCTGGGGATGTATTCCTGAAGGTCAGCCCACCGCGTGGCCTTTTGGTTGGTCCACTGCCAGTTCCATTCAGCCCGTTTTCCCATAGACCTGCCGCGTCCTGCTCGGCGGAGGTGCAATAACCTTGAGAAATTCTTCAGTCCCTACCCACCCTCTTAGATGCCCCAATGGCCTGGCATAGTTTTATAAAATGGACGGGAGGTTTATGAGGAGAGGGAGAGAGGTGCTGGGAGAAGACAGGCTCTAACACTGTTGTCTCTCTCCAGTTCTCCTGTAAGTGGGGTCTAGCGAGCGAGCTTCGTTGGACGTAGCGGTGTCCACCTGAGGCACCACCCAAGGGGAAGGCAGCAGGAAGAGCGTGGCAGGAAGGGAGGAGGAGAAAGGCAGGGTGGCAGGAGACTCCAGGGAGAGCGTGGAAAGCTGGTGCTACCCCTGAGTTGCCCCAGGGGCCGCCTTTGACCTCCAATCGGCACACAGGGGCCTGTGGAGTGTTCCTATCAGGCTCCATTCTGTGCTATAGTCTGTCCTAGGTCGGAGGTGGCA